AAACAAGTCATGGTACATTGCCTGGTCATTAGGAGGGGAGAGGGAGGCTGGAATCATTGCCTTGTCCAGCGATGATGAGGCTTTGGTACAGACCAATGGTACTGGCTATATGTCATCTTCCTCAGGGTTGTCAAACTGAGAAGGACATGGCACATGGGCAGGGGGATCACCAGTAAGATGCCCATGGAGGAACCACATGGTCTGGTACAGGTTCTAGGGAGGTCAGTAAGATGAAGCGTATGGGTCATCAGGTGTTAGCAGACCATAGGCATAGTGAAACCATGGCTCAGTGGTAGGGTTGTATGCTGACAGACACAGCAATTGGTGCTTGGGATCTAGTCTGCAGTGGTAAAAGGGAACTGGAGCAGCATTAACCTGCATGGCCTCAGATGTAAGCACGCAGATGACTCACAATACACATGCTGGTAGACACTTCTACAAACTTGTTCTCCCTCCGGTGCATGGGATGCAAGCACACCCACCTTTGGAATGCAGACACACACACACATTTGAAGAACATATTATTTTCTTTCATCTTGTTCTGCCAGTATTCATATTTCCTTATTTCCTTCACCTTAAAGAAAACATACCAGGAAAATAAAGCGCCTACATTTTCAACTATGACTAATATTTTTCGAGCAGTGGGGCTCTAAAATGCTGTCTTGGATTGGGGGCAAGATCTTGGGGCCCTATGATTTGACCTACTGGCCACAGCTAGATGGAACTCATAGTCTTGTCAAATCCAAATGTATAACTGGGTTAAAAAAATTATGTAAATACATAGAGATAGGTCCATTAGTAGCTATTAGCCAAAACTGTGTCAGGGACACAACCCCATGGCGTGCCTGTTCATAAACCTCCAACTGTCAAAAGCTGAGATTCTCTTCATTGTCTCTGAAGCAACTAGCACTGGCCACTGTCGAAAGACAAGATGCTAGATCTGACCCCATATGGCCAGTTTTATGTTCCAAGAGGAAAGATAAATCATGAAATTAGACTTTTAGATCTTCTATTCCCTGGATTTACATATTCAGTTTTTATAGCTTGCATTATTACAGGTGGCATGCATAGCAATCCCTATATTAAGATAACAGTTCCATTCTGAAAGACGCATTTTTAATTTCTTTTAACTTTCTCAAAAGTACTTTTCAGCTAAAATTTGTCATACCTGTTTTCAGTTATCTTTTTCCTGAACGTTTCATCAAAAATAATTGAGTTGTTTTTAAACATGAAGGACTATGGGGGAAAAGAGGCTTTTTTGTTGTTAATCATTCTGTATTTTTATAAGATGTTCTTGGTGCCTCAGAGGATACTGATGGAAAGATAACATTTGTAGATACCTAAATCCAGGAGAACGTTTAAGCATAATCCTGTTTTGCTAGATCAAGGCCACATAAAGCCTTTGTCTGATCAAAAGCCTACTTAAAACAATGGAAAGACTTCAATGAACTTTGGATCAGCCCCACTGTTTCTAACTGAAGTTATGTCTTTCAGTGACCTGATAAAATTATATGCATTTGGCAGAGCAGAAATTATTTTTAATAATCACGCATGTGCACTGGTTTATGTTTTACAACAATGTTGAAACAACAATTACTGAAAAAACAATGAAGAGTCCTATAGCATCTTAAACACCAACAGATTTATATAAGAACAAGCTTCTGTGGGTAAAAATCCTTTGTCAGGTACAGAATAATCTACTATTGTTCCATAGCTATGAACATCTGTTAAATAAAATGAGAGGAATTTTCCAATAAGGAAATGATCTAAAGAAGCTGAATGTAATTCCAATTTCCTGTGAAACCTGGTCTGTGAATGGATATATGGAATGAGGCAAAGGATCCAAACTCAATGATTATGTATTCAGTGTACTGAACTGCTTTCTGCTACTGTCTAGCAAACAGTTGGACATTTCTTATGCAAATTTTCAGGTTGCTATGTTCCTTTAATATTAACTGAATTCATCCAATGTAGAGCTGGGGAAAATGTTTTGACAAATATTTTGCCAAAAAAGTACTTTCAGTTGAGTCAAAACTACTAATGAATGTGCCAAATAGTTTCAATTCCAAAACATTTTTGGGACTCAATCAATTGATACCCTTGCAATTTTTAGCTCAGTGGTTAGAACGCTCGCCCTGTACACAGGAAACTCAGATTCAATTCCCTTCTCTGCCTGATTTGGAAAAAGGATTTGGACTTGGGTCTCCCACATTGCAGCAGACTGCCCTAAGTTGATGGAACTATAGTACTGGTCTCCTGACGATGCTGTTCCACTTTGCAACAAATCAATGGAGCAAGGATTTGTTTTTTGATCTCCCAAATCCTATGTAACTACCTAACCATTAGGCTGCAGAGTCACTCTTTCACTGTGACCCCAAGACTATTTATTGTCATTACGAAAGAGTATGAATTGCCACTATGCATGACAATCAATAGTCATTTGGCCATAGAGAAAACTGAAGATGACCTTTGATTTTTTTTTTTTTAGAATCAAACTAGTTTCTTATCCAGCTCTAATCCAAAGAATATATTCCAAAAACCATACTAAAGCCAGATGCCCAGCATTGATTAAGTACTCTTAGCTACCTCTGACAGTTCAAAGGCCGCTTAAAACTGCTCTAAAGGTGGGGCTATTCCTGAAGACAGAGGAATTTCGCAGTGATTTGAAGTACTTTATACCAACTACTCCATACCCTGCAGACAGGAAGCATTCTGAAATGGGCTATAACAGAGATGGTCAGGACATTGGTGTACTGAATTAATCACCGTGAAAAATTTCACTTTCATAAGTGGTCAGTTTGGTCTCAGTATCCTGGGAGATGCAGGGTAGTTTAGAGTCATTGTTCCCACCTCACACGATTTAGGACTCCAGCCCAATATTTCTGATGCTATGAAAAACAGGATTTACCAACTTCAACAAAACTTGTCTTCAAATCAGAAACACAGAATGTTCTGAATTTGAAAGGATTACAAAGCACTTGAGTTCAGTTCCCAACTAAAGTGCTTTGTAAAGCAAAAAGACCAAGGCCAGATTAACCTGTCACTGGATTCTAACCCATTGTCTTCTCATGGATAACAACAGCTATGCAAGTACACACACACAGGCTGGTCTGCTGCTCAGGGAACTGCTCTTCATGCCAGAGGGGGCGCCAAAACAAATCAGAGTGAGTGCTATTGCGCCCTGGTGCGCTGGTTTGCAAAACTACGAGATCAGCCTTGCTCTTCCATCACGGTGAGAAATGCCCTGAGCAGCAGCAGGATGAGCTATTAGTCTCAGTAGATCCATCACATAACTAGATCAGCTACAATAAATATGAGATTTGCTTCCCACACACAAACAATGAATGTGCATCTTAGCCAGATCCTAATTTTTCTGTGTGTTAATCCAGCCCTGATAAGGATACATGCTTCTATAGTCTAGTACTGCATATCCTGACATGGCATATTAAAAACAATATATTTATCCTAAATCCCAATATGTACTTCATGATGAAAAGAACTGTTCTATTTACTGCCATGCCAGAAAAAACAATGCTGGAAGTTGTGATACCATTAAGAGATTCCAATCAATAAAAATACAACTTTGGTCAAAGCCCCAGCTGTCTCTCAAATATACTGATGCAATCCAAAAAAAAAGTCTCACAGGATAACCTGAGAGGAGCATTTGGCCCTCACTATTTTAAAATATATTCCTTTCCCTATCAACATGTGGTTCACTAATGCTTTTATAAAAGCATTTAAGATCCTCATATATATAAATTGTTCTGCTACCATTTATATTAAGCATGCACTTACAATTGGACTGTAACAATCAATAATTGATGAGTTAATATTTATTAATATAGCTATTCAATATGTATTAAACCTCTATAAATGGGACCTTAATACCAAGCGCGACTATAGAACCGTCATTCTCCCCATTTGCATACAAGGAACAGGAGGACACATATTCCAGATTATTTGCAGACAAAATTAAGGACTAATGGATCATGAAGACCTTTAGACTTTATGGGCTAAATTGTCAAAAAAGGCCACTACCTTCTTTCAATTTGCATGTGCATAAACACCTTCTCACCATTTTTTGAGCCCCAATCCCAAGGTGAGCAGATGATATAGGAAAAACCTACACATGAAAATGGATTTCTTATATGAAAATTATATCACATTTGCACTGAGATCCCTTCCAGGCAGCTCAAATCCTGGTACAGGCTGCCACTTGCAATGCCCTGGCTGGGGCATCAGTAGCAGGGACAGCACCTAAAACATTCAATCTAAAGCATGAACTTCAGCTACCAAATGGCTCAAAGGCTCTATGAGATTCAAGTTCATATGTAGTTCAGCCATTAGACAGAGACCAAGGACAGAGAACCACATTATGTAAGCATGGATTACATACCAGTGTTGAAAGCCACTTTTTGAAAGTCTGGCCCTACTGGCTATAAACAAGTTGATATATTACATTTAGTAAATGATATCTGAAACAAAAGATAAAATATTTGTGCCAAGAGATTTTTTCCATAACATCTATAAACAATTTATATTTATGTATGCTGTAGCAGCTGTTCCCCATTTCTAAATATTCAAATAGAATTTGGAGCTTGAAAAAATGACACCTATCATTTATCAGTATTATCAATTATCTTATTGCCATGCATTGCAAAATTACAATGTGTGGATTGGAAAAGACAGTGAGGTAGGGGGTGAAAGGATGGAGTTAAAACATCACATAGCAAGGCTCAAAATTATAAGGCAACAGAATTTTATAGGGTTTAATACAACAAGGGAAGTTATAATTACGAGAGAAATAATAAAAAACATTTCTCTTTTGTGTGGTTTTTCATGGAAAAATGATTCAGAAATGACTAGACCCTGCCTGGTAATATAATAGCCTCTTTTTTGAGCCCTGCAAGTTCACATGTTATGACATACACTAACAGATTTGAATCAATGGCAAACACGTAATATTTTTGATCAAGCAAATAAAAGACAGAAGCACATACCCATTTTTCCACATCAACAAGCTGTAGAAAGAAAAAACAAAAAATTAGTTATGTCTTTAAACTATCGTTTCAAATCTTCAGATCTCACAGGAATGAGTAGAAGCAATCACCTATTTATCTCCCCCCCTCCCACCTATGCCAAGAGCTATTTCTTTCTGCAAAATACTTCAAATTTTAAGTCTAAAATGTCAGCCATAAAGTCTGATAATTAGCTACAAGAATAACATACATTTGGAGTTGAATTAATTCAATTCTACATTCTAAAACACAAATCTAATTATTCTGAAGCTTTTGTTTGCTGCCCATAGTGCAGTTTGGGTTTACGCTGGGCTCAACATGAGGCCTATGGGTGAGAGCCAAAACAAAAGAGTAGGTAATATAATGGTGTCCTGTTGATATGTGTTTTAGTAGTTTAATTCCTGGACTGTCATAGCTCATTAAAAGTGCTGTCATATGGGTGGAAATCAGATAAATATTGCATTGTATTAATATCAGCAGAACCAACTTAAATAGGGCCTGTGTGTTGTATAGTCTTGCCTTAATCTTTGTACTCATGCCCAACAGTGTGAAAGAAGATATTTGCATATATACTTGCATGTATATGCAACCACATTTAAGTTGCCGCCCTCAGCATGTGCTATGAGTATCATTGTGAGCCCCAAGACTTCCAAAGTTGGGTAACCCTGGTTGAATGAAATACACTGACTGCCACTAAAAAACATTAGTATTTAACCAAACTACCACATCAAAGATAGCTCAGTACTGCCTTATACATTGACTATATTGCAGTATTTTTAAATCTAACATATGTTCCAATATTTTACTCATAACTAATGCTGATCTTCTGTTAAAATGGACCACTGTTGTAGTTCTTCATAATTTTCATTTGATGCTTTAATGCAAAAATATGAATAATTTCAAACAAGGAATCCCAATACTATAATGAAAACTCAGGTTCCAAATGTAGGTGTTTTTTTTAATAAAAATTGTTTAATAAAATCAAATGTTTTCTTTTTTGTATTATATATCATTGCAGTGAATATAGAATTTTGGACTTCCAAAACTATCACATTCCACAGTGGAAAAGAGACGCTATTATACAACTTTCAACTTGTCATTCGCTCTTAGTTTTCTGGAATTTTGGCTGCTTGGATTTATTTACTTTCATTATGACAATTCTATGAATTGTCAATAATGTATATTATACCTTAACCCTGTGTTTGTTATCCATGGTAGTCAACATTGGAGAAATCATTTCAAAATTAAGCTTCTTTTTAAATAAATTAAGATAAATAAGAAATAATGACAAGTCATGGTAAATTTAAAAAAAATCTAAAGCCAAATGAAAGCAATAAGATGTCCTACTAAACGAAAAGGAGTTGTCAGATAACTTCCACTTGAGTGTATGGCATTCAATGTCTTTGTTTTCTTGACATCCCTTATACTGAAATGTGTGTGTGCTATTTTGCATCATTAATCAGAGTGGAAGTTGATGTGAGAGAGCTGAATTAATTAAAACTATATTATGTTGGCATGGTTCTTTCAGAAGTTTTTTTCTGCTAATACAAAATTTCCTTAAGTGAAGTGGGCAGCCAGAACTGTTTTTGGAAAGGATGTGAATGAACAAGCTGCATTATTATTTGTATTAATCACTTGCCTCCCTATTGCTGACTTGTCTGTTTAACAGAGTGCAACAACATGTTATAGTTTCATGAGTGAAACTTAATTGCAAACCACATTCTCAGAGACTGCTGTACACACTGAGTCTCTGTACCAGCACATTCAGAACCATACCTGTGCAAGTACTTACAGGCTTTTGAATGTGCCCAAAGGATCCATACTAGGGAGGTTAAAAAACGATTAATATAACTATGTAATCATTAAAAATATTCGCGGTTGCATGCACAGCAAGCTCTGTAGTATAAAGTTTATATACATACAGAGCTAGCTGCGTGGAGCAGCAGCTGACTCCCCGGATTATACCTGCTCCCAGGGAGCTGGCTGCGCTGTGGGCTCTGCAGTATAAGCTAGAGATGACAGCGTGTAGACAACTACACGATTAACCAATAAGCCTGGGCTTATTGGTTAATCAATTGACTACACACATTGCCCCCCTTGCTGCCTTTTAACTCAGCACTCCAAGTGCACTGGATCCCATGGAGCCGCCAGTGATTCCAAGGGAGCAGGCAGGAGCCTACAGGCATGGGGAGCTGGCTTTTAAGCCGGCTCTCTGCATGTGCCAGCTCCATGGAGCTGCCTGCCCCCAACCCCTTGCTGCCTCCCACAGAGGCGGGGGAGCAGAGGGGGCTGCCATGGAGCAGCTTCTGTCCACTGGCTGTCAGCCCTGCCCCTGGGGACTATCGAAGAGTCGTGCAAATGCTAAAATATGATGCAGTTACATGGCTATTCAATTACACGCTCAGTAACATCCTTAGTAAAAGCTTTATACTGCAGAGCCTGCAGTGCAGGGTGGCAGCCAGCTCCCCCAGAGCAGGACCAGGAGCTGGTGTGTAATGTAACAGAAATTGTTTAAACAGTTATACTTTTACATCAGACTGGTGTGTGGGTGGAACTGCTTGAGAGGTACACCTATGTATAATCAAATTTTGCAAGTATAACAATGCATAGGAAATTTTGTGGATGCACCTTTTGGGCTACCTTTGAGGGAATGACCCTTAATCTAGTGTAAAAATACACAGCCTTCCATTGGAAAACGTTCCATTTTTAATTATAGACAAATCCTTCAGGGTTTAGTCCTTACTTTCAGGCGAAGTTGTTACTAAAGCCACATTACACACACTGATTATTCTAGGAAAGCCTCTCTTTCTTGCCATATGTGAAACAGTGAGAATGCTAGGGTGAAATCCTGGTCCAATGGCAAAACTTCTATTGATCTAAGCAAGATCAAGAAATCACTACTGTCAAGATTGCAATCTATTTTTCACAGCATGGTGATAAAATCACCAGCAGCCATTCTACACTAATGCTGCTGTATTTCTAATGCTGGTGATGTCCAGGAAAGCTGACAGAGGTTCAGTACTTTTCAAAAAATCAAGCCACTTATTTACATGCCTAAGTATTGCCTTAAGAGCCTAACTTTTAAAAATCTGGACTGTAAATATTTACATTCTCGTTTATCATTATTTACTGTATGGAACAACAAATGCCCAATGCAATATGAAGGCATAATGTTCAACCCCAAAATAATTTTCAAATCACCAAAGATTTTTAAAAATTCACCCAAAGGGATTTTTTTCACAACTGCCAAGGCACGCACGTGGACACACACACACACACACATACACAAACTATTTTTCTATATATCTATAGTTGGAATAAGGTTGAGACTCCCATGAAGCATATAACATTAGAATATGTACAATACTTTCTTTCCATGAGCATACTGACACCACCACATTATGGAGCATTTACCCTTTGCTTGGATAAACACAATAAAGCTTTCCTGAAGGAATTTAAAGCTATATTTCATGGGTTTCACGTAATAGTTAGCTGTAGACTTTGTACCAGCCAATGGAATATGTTTTATTTGTTGGCTTCTCATTTGGGGTCCATGAAGGAAATCATCATATCACACCAGAACTCATTTTAAAATCTGAGTCTCTGATGAAGGACTGGTTTTGCAACACCACACCTCTGTGAAATCCAAAGATTCAATTCAGATTAATCAAGCCTGAAGGCCGAAGTCTCTTCAGCCAGAAAGGCATTGATAGTATCACTGCTGCTGTCCGATTGCTATCTTTTGTGTTGCTGTGAGGAGTCATGGAAAAGGTGAAAAGACAGATAGAAGAGACCTTGCCCGTTTTGCAGGTCATCATTCCTCATCTCATTTTCCAGGTCTTGAAACAGGGCACCTGATTGTTTCCAGATTCAAACCTATCAATAAACAGCCCACCAAACTGACTTAGTATGAGAGAGGTATTTCTGGGTTATCCTTAATGAACATTAAGATGAGAAAACTTTGATCCACCCAAGTAGAACTCCTTTCAGAAGTAAGGCTCATCACAGACACATTGGCCGCTATAACCTCCATAGGTCTGTTATCTCTAGAAGAGATACTGCTTCATGACTTCAGTAAGTCATTGTGCTCTTGCTGATGGATGTTGTGTACTCACTTTTTTTGCTATTCATTTCCTGAGATGACCTGGGAAAATGCCATACAAAAAACTGATTCTCTGCATCCATCAGAATACACAACTAGAGCTATATCTCTCCTTATGGATGAGAGAGGCTGGGATGCAGAGGAAAGACTTAGAATTACTGGATAGAACTCACATGAACTCTAGAATATTGAAGTATAACTGTATGTGAGATCACAACTCTCAACCGGGTCCAGGAAGAATTGATTTTCTGTTTCTGTGACACTCTTTGTTTTCCTTTATGGCCATCTTTATCTTCTGTTAACATACTTCTGAGACGGAATCTGGTACCACGCCACATTCATCCTCAGGCGAGGCCCAGGACTGATTCTTCTAGTGCCATGTAAGTGTTCATCCTGAATCCAGGAACTGTATTACCGTATGTATTTTTTCAGCTTTCCCTCTGTTCAGAACTCTGATCAGAAAAATTGTTTCAGAAGAGATATATTAATTTTCTTCTTCCCTAAAATTAATGTTTCTTGCTATCATGTTCCTGAATACCCCAGAAAAGAGCAAATTGCAATAATCAAAGCTTGGGGTGAGACAGAGGGAAGGCTCCCATCCATCTGTCAAACAAAAATAGTCTGAGAACGGTGATGCGGGAATGCTTTGAAGGTAAGCCTACATTGAGAATTTATTTAGTTATTTCACAGAGGGCCCTGCTCTGTTCATCCCTATTCTGAGGCTAAAAATAGGATGCAGAATGGGTTATAATGTTCTGCTCAAAAGTAGATGATGGATGATTTTATTCACATCATGAATAAAACCCTCTCCCCTGGGTTGCTGAGACTGTGGATGGGGTAATGCTGTTCCTGTAATTCTTCCACCATTTCTTCGACATAAGAATGTAAAAATGGCCACACCTATCAGACCAAAGGTTCATCTAACCTAGCATGGTGTCTTCCAAAAGTGTCCAATGCCAGGTGCCTCAGAGGGAATGACAAGAGCAGGTAATCATCAAATGTCCCATCCCCTGTTGCTAATTTCCAGCTTCTGACAGAAGCTAGGGACAACATTCCTGCCCATCCTGGCTAATAGCTATGGAAACGATTTCATATTTAACTAGAAGCCATTCTGTAAAACAGAATTAATTTCAGTTTCTTGCTTTTGCACATATGCCAGTGAGTGAACTGACCTTCACCAATGTGAGAAAAAGCCAGAAAGTTGAGCTGTTGGAATGTGTTAATGAACCATTTTGAGTCGAAACTCTCACTCCCTAAAACCTGTTTCTTTCTTTGCTGATAACAATTTCTCTTTCAAGTTTGCTTTGATGGAATGCCCTGGCATCAAACTTATTTGGTTAAGGATATAAAATACTAGGATTGTGTTGAACAGCCTTACTGGGCCCGGCTCTGCTGGGGTCATGTTTGGCTCACTTTGTACCTTATTGATCAATAAAGCTGTTTGTTAGCTGCCTAACCACATGGAAGTCTTTTGCTCCAACATAGCAATTGATGGACCTAACCTCCATGAATGTACCTAGTCTTCTCTTAACCCTATTATAGTCTTTGCCTTCACAACATCCTCTAGCAAAGAGTTCCATAGGTTGACTGTGCATGGTGTGAAGAAATACATGTCTTTTGAACCTGCTGCCTAATAATTTCATTTGTTGACCCATATTTCTTGTGTTAGGAGGAGGAGTAAGTAACACTTCCTTATTCATCTTCTCCCCATCAGTCATGATTTTTAAAATCTCTATCATATCCCCCCTTACTTTTCTCTTTACCAAGTTCAACAAACCCAATTTTATTAATCTCTCCTCATATGAAAGCTGTTCCATACCCCTATCACTTTTTGTTGCCCTTTTCAGAACCTTTTTTTGAGATGGGGCAGCCAGAACTGCATGCATCATACAAGATGTCGGTGTACTACGGATTTATATATGATATTTTCTGTCTTATCTATCCTTTTCTTAATTAGTCTTAACCTCATTAGATCAAAGCTCTTTTTGTTTCCAGACTGAAAAAACCTGGCATCAAACTGCAGGCTAATTTCAATAGATCCCCTCTATTGTTTCATAGCTATTAGCACTGCATTAATTCTAGCTATAACTCGAAAAATACATGGGTTTTTTTGTTTCACTTCATGGAATGCTTCAGTCTGACATGCAACCATATTCCTTTCTATGATATCCTGCAAAAGTCAGTGCTGAATGTCAATTTTTCTGACTCAGTTTGCCATAATGTTTCCCGGTGTATCTCTAGCTAGAAACTGATGTGCCTGCCTTTTGGATCCCAAGGACCAAACCCCAGATATCTACATGAAAGAGATTTGAATGCCGTTTTCCCCCACCCATACCCTGGGAGAACTCCTTACTATGATATGGTTTTTAAGTTGAGGGATCATACTTGTATCACTGTACTGTTGACCCGTATTAGTGTTCCTTGTGAAAGCATACAGGGGGCATTTGCAGTGTTAGATGACATTTCCTATTTGTTTGTTGATTGCTGGCCTGATGCCACCTGACAGTTTTCATGCCCACAGAAAGGGACTTGGCTGAACCATGAAGAATCCATTATTTCAGGTAATGCTCTCCCCCACTTAGCAATGCCAAAACTTTGCCCATGGAAAATACACACTTTTATGCTGGGTAATGATACTGGTTAAATTTGGTCTTGTGCAAAGGCCCATTACTGCTCTCTCTACTTTTGGCCACATCTGTATCATGTGCCCTCACTCCATGGTGTGCAGGGAAGTGAAGCAAAGCTGAGCCCCAAGGACAGCTGGTGCAGGTAGACTATAGGGAGAGCTTCCATTAGGTGTGCTGCCCTTCTGACTTCACTCCCCTCATGAAGAAAGAAAGGAGCTGCTTGGTCCAAAGGCAGCATCCTTCCAATCCCTTCCACCTCCTCTCCTTCCCAGACTGGGCTGTGAGGGAAAACTTTGCCCACAGAACAGACTAAGCTCCCCAGCAAGACACATACTTAGTTGCGGGGAATGCAGGATATACAGACTGTTGCTTTTGCTTCCATCTTTCCTCTACCCAGCTCACCCCCTGACTGGGCATTAGATTCTTCATATACCTCACAACAGGAAGCAGAAATGAGAAGATGATCTCCCCAAAATCAAATGCAGCCCTGGAATGCAGCTGTGATGCAGACTGAACTCAAAACTATTAGTCTAAAATCTGAACTCAAGTCTGGAATTTCTCTCAGAAAATTTCTGAAGCAGGAAGTGCTGGCCAAACTTCCAGCTGTTGTGGTGGCATTAAAAACTGGAGGGAGCTTCATGAGGTGGGAACTTACCACTGCTACCAATGTCAATAAGGCCTGATTCTGTCCCTAAAGCAGACATACCTATGGTAGCTGATCTGTGGACATTATTAGAAAGAACAACAGAGAGCAGATATAAATCCAAAAAACGATCATCCACTGTTTTCAACTGAACAAAGCAACTTTGGGAACCAGGTACTGTGCATTGCAAATAAAACATCAGTTAAAAAATTCTGTTGCACAGCTTTTGTTGTTTTAGTTAGTTATGCATGACTCCTTTTAGTTGGAGCCTCAAAACACTGGAAACACCTAAACAAAATTACAAAAAATTAAATGCAAAGGCTTCACTAAACAAATTATTCTTGCAATATTTCCTGGAGCTTGCCAAAACTCATGGGATTTCCAATGAAAACATATTTCAACCAGTTCCATAGGGTATGTCTAGACTACATGCCTCTGCCGACAGAGGCATGTAAAATAGGCTACCCGACATAGTCAATGAAACGGGGATTTAAATATCCCCGGCTTCATTAAAATAAAAATGGCTACCACGCTGTGCCGGCTCAGCTGATTGTTGGCACAGCGCAGCATTCAAGACACGGATCAGTCGACAAGGAAAGCCTTTGTTGACCGCTCCCGTAAACCTTGTTTCACGAGGCATAAGGGAGCGGTCGACAAAGGCTTCCCCTGTTGACTGATCCGTGTCTTGAATGCTGCGCTGTGCCAACAATCAGCTGAGCCGGCACAGCGTGGTAGCCATTTTTATTTTAATGAAGCCGGGGATATTTAAATCCCCGTTTCATTGACTATGTCGGGTAGCCTATTTTACATGCCTCTGTCGGCAGAGGCAAAAAGATATGGCACGCTGTTTCACAGAATATTGTAGGATGATGTTTATATAAGAAACTTTTATACCAAAAGAAACATTTCCCAAGATCTACATTTATTCCAACAGAATAAAACTCCGGTATTGCAAAGTGAATTGAAATATATTATTGTAGTGAATAACTATTGCTAGCAGTAGTCATTTTAATCGACATGTTACTTTATCCCAAACCAAGAGCTTGTTTTGCCACCAATTATGAGCATTTAAAAAATATCTTAACAGTGGCATAGTCATTAGTTTGTGGGGGGTGGAGGAAGGGCTTTATTTAAAAAATTAGAAAACTCAGTGTTTTCCATTCTGATAGTCATGGAAACTGGGATTTTTCACTCACTGAAACAGTGAAAGACTACCAGTTCTCTCCATTTATTTACTAAAGATGGAGCAGTCAAAAATGGACCTGGCTCATTAAATTGAGATTTGTTTGAGATCTGAATATAACCTTCCCTCAAAGAGTTTGGCTAGGTTTGATGCTTCAGATTCTTTTTTTTTTTATAGACAAGCCTAAAACACAAACTTCGGGATCTTCTCTAATAGTTACTTGTAATTGTTCTAACAATGACATGACACCTTCTCAAAAAAACTCTTGTTAAGCCTGAAAATACAGAGGAAGTCTAGTCCTTTCACTGCTCAACCAACACTCAGATGTCCTCTACAAAATCATTTTTGCTAAGACACAATTATGAAGAGATGCAAAAGAGCAGACTTCTACACAATGATTGTGATTACGGTACATTTCAGACAAGACATACAGGTCTTTACATGAACAAGAGCCTACAGCCATAGCCATTAATTGAAGTATAGCGAGCTAGTCAAACCCAGAAGATGAATGCCTAAGGAATTTGAGAACAAAGCTAAATAATATGCACTGAGCTGCTATTTTTCTGTACACATGGATTCTTACCATTAGTGGGAGTAATGTGGCATACAGAGCTAAACACATACCCTTTAGACTTAATTATGCAATATGTGGTTTAAAAAAAAAACAACCAAACAGAACACATTTTTTAAAAAGACATCAGTTTAAACCAGACAGTCACCAAAGTAAACAACTATTTGTAATGGCCCAGTAGGATGGGCAGGGGTGGGGTAACAGATGCAACCCTCCCTTTCTGCAGTAGCAAGGCTGTCCCATCCATGGGACATTTTCCCTAATATCTGGGGTGGGGGCAAGGCTTAGCAAATAGATCTGAAATATCCACAAAAATCACAAGCTATACTCAAACTCCTTCCCCCATTCATTTCCCTCCATTCTAAGGAATAGAAAACCACTGAACTATGTTTTACTGCATGCAGAGAATTCACATAGGGATTCCTCACATCTTTTTCTCTCTCACACTCACACACACACACACACACACACTTTCTCTCTCTCTCTCTCTCTCTCTCTCTCTCCATTCTCTCCATTGCACAGAGCCTACCCTGGAAATAAAATCAGACAATAATTCCCTGTTCAGTGATGTGAAAAACAAGTCTTATTTAAAAAGGACAACCAGGGGAAGTGATTAATTAACCATGACTGGATGATTAGCTGGGAGTTAATAGGCCCATAATACAATTAAGTTGAGACACAGTTTTAAATGATGGGGTATCATATATAGAATTTGCCTGCAAATTTAAATGCTCTAGGAGTTGGAGTTAAATCTGTTAAATTGAAATTTTAGTCATCTCCCATGTTAGGAATATAGATTATATTTTGTATTCATGTCCACAGACAGTGTGTGCAATCTGACTTTGACATGCATTTAATAATGCATGATATGGATTAAAGAACATGCAAGAAGGGTCTGCCAATATTACTTCCAGCATCAAAGAGTGAAAATATGCTCACGCATTACAATTAGGACACTTGATCAAAAGTTAGTAAACGAGCTTACTAGAAGGTTCCTCAGGTCCTTGAGAGCAGGGGTGTGTGGGTGTGGAGGGGTGCAGGAGTCAGAGCAGAGCAGAATCTGTTTGTTCAAGAATTCCTCCTAAACGATAAGAGCTGGGACCAGCAAATTTGGTATGTAGCTTCCTCTTATAGTGTAAAGGGTGGAGGCTCAAGGCAAGAGATGGGTACCCACGGCAGGAGTTTGGGAGTGGTGGCAGGGCTCAGGAGAGTGGCTGGGAGGGAAGGAGAAACCAGCAGGTGGTCCATACGGCTAGCCCATGACCACGAGGGCCTTGTGGCCCATTTGCTGGCTTCTTCCTGGGGCCAGGAGGCCCAACAGCTACTCTGTGGGGCTGGGCCAGGGAGGCAGCGACTGCGCTGGCTGGCAAATGACTGCTTCCCGGGGCTGTATAGTCATTTGGTAGTATAGTATAATTGTCCCCTGTGCTTGATACCACTCTCCCTCTCCCCATGGTTATTTGAGAGAATAACCATGCCTGCTATCAAAGCCTTCCCCTTTTCATGTAATGAGAAACAATAGCATTCCACATGCATCCCCTTGTCCTGGCACAACCAAACCCTGACCCTGCTTTACATTACAAGAGGAAGCTGCATACCAAATTTGCTGGTCCCAGCTCTTATAGTTTAGGAGGAATTCTTGAACAAACAGAATCACAGACAGATAGACAAGACACACAAACTCTCTCAAATAAATAGCAGATTCTATAGCTTGTTAGTTTTTAGTGTCATCCAGAGACTACAGTTTAATTCCCCTGCTTTCAGAGCACTGCGTGATACACAATGTCTTTGGACTATGAAAAAAGACAATTTGATTAGCAGAGTTTACTACAAAATCATCATGCTTTTTAGAGAACACAATTATGGCAGTTTGGAGACGGAGACTGGAAACATTGTTGCTATCAGAAGGGAACACTCTGGTCTTGGATCCAGAGAGTAGACCCTGACTCTGCTAATCTGCTCAGCTCTATATTAAGACTTGCTGTCAATAAGAGTTGCCATACATAAATAACCAAAAGCTATTGATTCCACTAGCGGGGAGAGAATGATACAATCCACAAAAAGGTATAACCACAAATAATGGGATGAAATTAAGGAAAGTAAAAATTAAGATAAACAATGAGGGAAATGTTTTTCAGTTGTGATACTGAGAGAGAATAACTGTGGGTTTGATAAAAAGGGAATTCAAAGTGGCACTGTTGGCCACTGAATCCAGAAGTCAGTGGTTATGTCCAATATGAGAGCAAGCAGAGCCTTTTGCAGTTAGAAAGGTGTTGCAAACAGGCAAACCAAAGTGAGTTAGCAGTTAAAGACTGGAATCCACTGGTCTATGTCCATTGCCATAGAGACTAAATATTCAGCAGCAGCTGCTTATCTCTGTGTAGAAACACAAAGTTTGTGAAGAACAAGTCATGCCAAACTAATCTGATAGCTTTCTTTGATAGGATAACGAGCCTTGTGGATAAGGGAGAAGCGGTGGATGTCATATACCTAGACTTTAGTAAGGCATTTGATACGGTCTCGCATGATATTCTTATTGATAAACTAGGCAAATATAACTTAGATAGGGCCACGATAAGGTGGGTGCATAATTGGCTGGATAACCATAGTCAGAGAGTTGTTGTTAACCTCTAAAAATTTGAAATGTAGGTCAGACCCCTTTGGAAATCTTAGATGTACTCTGTGGACCCCCATGTTGTCCACAGATCACAGTTGAAAAATCACTGTTCTATGGCAACAATGACCTTTTACAGACCCTCATGGACATAGTCTGTGGACGACATGGGTCCACAGGCCTGAAATTGAAAAACACTGGCCTGCACCATTAATGACCCAAGGGAGCCTTATTCTTGAACCTCATTGAAATTTCTTTACATAGTTAAAGAATCTATACTATAAATATTACTGCATCAGAAATAATTTCTGGTAAGTCTTTAAAGTCATTGAGCCAAATTGACTTTAGATACTTGCACACAGCACACTGAATTCAGTGAGAGTTGTACTTGTTAATGTGAAAGCAGGATTTGGACTTTCCTCTTGCGGTATCTATGAGACAATGTATGTGTGCCTGTATCTATAGTGTAGACGCTAAATTCCTTGTATCTTTGTAAAGTAGCCACACTATAAAGCCCTGTATAGACAAAGTGAAAACTGTAGTAGGATACTATGAAGCAACTCCATGGAATATTTGCAATTTCGTAAAAGAAAGGATTTAATGTTCTCCCTTCATTGCTGTACTTTGTAAATTAAATAATCTGGTAATATAAAAATGTATATAGGTACTAGTTCTAGTTATATCTGAGACTAAAAAGCCATTGAAAGTTGTGTTGTGAATGTAATACTATAACCATTTTGAAAGTCTCAGAGAGGTAGCCATGTTAATCTGTAACTAACAAAATTTTAAAAACAACAATGGTCCTGTAGCACCTTAGAGATCCACATGGGTGGATCCTTACAGCTGCTCACAACCCAGCTAAAGTGAAATGTGGGTTCTTCTGCCCACAGATAATATGGCAGGGCTAAGCTGTTAGTGGACTGAGGGCAGATCTACACTGAACCT